CCCCCCCCCCCCCCCCTTTTGTAACAACTGTCAAACTTTCAGTGCTTCCCCCAAGTAAGTATGTAAACATTTGTATACCATCCACACCCCCCAAAAAAAAATTATTATAATATAAATAAATATATAAATACTTTTTACTTTGTGATGATCTATTTTAATAACACATAATTGTAGGAAAAAATTTAATTCCATCTTTAGCTTGTTAATCAACAAGTTAAAAAGTTTTTATAGTCAAATGTGAAAATGCAGAATCAATGAAAAGGTTGTTAAAGACTCAATATTAATGTTTTTGGAAGAAGAAATATGATTATTGTCAGTATAACTGACAATTGTAGCATAGTTTCTAGCTGCTATCATCTTCCCATGGAGTAGCTAGGTGTTGCTCTATTGTAACAATGGGCATAGTAGCTGATTTATCATTTTCATCTTGCGGAACTGATAACCCATATGTTACGCACTGCCTTCTATTGTGAGAAATTAAACTCCTATTTTAAATTTATGGCTCGTTCAAACAATGCCTAACGAAGGACGATACTATAGAGAAATACAATAACTTATAACAAAAATACGACACCCAAAACAGTACCAATTACAATTAATAAGATTTAATTTAGTAATAATACAATTAAAAAAAAAAAAAAAAGAAATATAATTACAATTTATAAGGTAATTTATGGGGACGACTGTAAAAATACGACACCCAAAACAGTCACAAATAAAAATAATAAAATTTAATTTAGTAATACTAAAATTAAAAAAAAAAAAAAAAGAAATATAATTACAATTTATAAGGTAATTTATGGGGACGACTGTCACTATTTTATCGAATTTCACGAATGTATCCCTAAATCGATCCCTATGCCTAACCTGAACCCTAAATGGATCCCTATGCCTAACCTGAACCCTAAATCGATCCCTCAACCTAATGTAACCCCTAATTTACTGCAACTATAATTTATAATAAACACCCAAAAGACGCCGTGGCAGCCGTCCTCGGATTTAGCCAAATATAATTACAAATCATCAACTTACAGAGTATGGGAAAAATCTTGTACCGGTACACAATTAGTACAATGTGCCAATTAATAACGATGAATGATCAATGCGAATAAATACATATAAGTTCACCAAGAATAATTACACGTCTTGTGAAATTAAAAATATCTATCAATCTCCGTCCCTCTCTGCCTGTCAATCCCTTATGGATGTGGGTCTACCGACGCGTCTAGAAACGCCCTTACTTTTCTAATACAATCGAGAACCTTCGACAAGATACTAGTAGACATACTAACCATGTTTAATTGGAAGTCGGTAGTAAACGCGATACATCAAAGAGATTTAACCACGGCCACAACAAACGTTACTGTCTGCCAGGAGTCTAATGCGGGGTCAAAGAAAGTTCACGCCCGGGGAAAAAGTGTACTACATCACACCAGACAAGTCAACATCATCCCCAACTAACCATTCAGCTATTAAAATAGAAGCATTTTCAATGTAAGCAATAATTGCCATAAGCTCTCTCTGTCTCCTGGCAGATACTTGCATTAGTCGAATCCTTTTTTGAGGAACAGGTGGTAATTTCTTATGAATTGTCAGTACTGTTGAAATGCTATTTCAACATGACTTGTGATGCAAAATAGATGTTACAGATTTTGCAAATCCGTTCAAGCAGTGATGTTATTATTGTTACTCTCTTTACTTTCCCCTAATTCTCAAAATATCGCATTCCTTCTTGACCGCACATGGCTCTTGAACCGTGTCCTTGTTCCATACCTACAAAACGATTGCAAACACCTACCGCCCTAGTCATTTGCAACAAACAGAATCTACGGATGTTGAGGCTGCAATTTTGACATCTCTTGCACTAACAAAGTGTGCTAAGATTCTGATCAGCCATCAGCAGTGCACAGACAGACACACATTCATTAAATAAATCTTATATTGTTAAAAGCCTAAAATTAAATAAATATTTTAATGTACATTCCATTCATAAAATTGCCAATTTTTAAGATTACACCCCCCCCCCCCCCACCTTTTTTTTTTTTTTTTTTTTTTTTTTTTTTCATAATTAATGGATGACCCCAAATATTATGAACCAGTTAAAAGTTGCGATCCCCACTTTGATTTATAGATGAAGTTGACAAAATCAACGTCATGTTTTGTAAGTTCCTCAACAACAAACAAAAAATAACAAAAAAAGCAATATCATTATTTTTATACGATAAAGACCCGATTTAATCTTTAAATTTATCTGCTATTAAACTTATTTGTCTTTGATTTGAATAAAACTATTATTAAGCACTCCGCAAAATTTAATCATATTATATTGAACTGTTTTTATCTCAGTGTAATTCTTAAAAAGTGAACCAACTCCAATACTCAAATACCGGTATCCATAATAATAAAGCCGCAGCTATAATACATTATTGTTTTAGAATCGCTGGCCTTGTTTAAGGTCGGTAGAAAGAGTACAAGTCACATGATGACATGTTCATATGACCAAGCTTTCCTTCAACGGTTTAGCCTTCTTATAAACAGAGACTAAGGCTTGGCTTTACACATTGTCATTATTGCAGTCGATTTGTTCCTGGGTTTGCTCTTTATTTTAATAACGCAGAGATACAAGCAAAAAAGGTTGGTTACGCTTGATCGTTATGATGATTAGTTTTACCTTTTGGAAGTTTTAATATTTTAATAAATTTGCCTTGCCCAAGCAGCCAAGCAAAACTTTATTTATTTTTTTAAAATTAGCTACTCCTTAAAACTACTTAAAACCCTAGTAGGCTTAGTTGACCTAGTAGCTTACTCAACTAATACCAGAATACTACTAGTGCTAGTATACTTTAATTTAATTCTTTTTTATACTACTGTTATAATTTTACTGACGTTTGCTGGTTAATTTTTTAACTAGGCATAGTAGTAGTATAAAATAATTTGCTACCTTCCAAATAAATAACAATAAAACATTTATTATTATCATTTATTTAGTTTTAGTGCTATTTGAACTATTTGACTTTTTGAATTTGGTAGTCTGATGTCTGAGGTGACTGACACTAATTTAATTCTAATATTAAACCAGGGTAGGGGAACTTTTTCTGAAAATTTTTCTCTTAAAATATCTATAAATATTATATTTTATATAATTTGGATAGTCTGCCACTTCAGTGTAGTGTTGGCTATTTAAAAATTGTGTTTTTCCCGTTTTTAGTTTACAAGTTATTTTATTGATAAAAAAAAACGTAAATATTTTATTGATCCAATTATAAGAATTATGTTTTTTATGATATTGTAAATGATTGTACATATTCATTGCAGTACATTCATATATTATATAGATATTCCAAGACATTATGTTTGAAATAGAAAAATTTAAACAATTTAATATATTAAAATAATATAACATGTTTATGCATAGTTTTCCACCCAGGGCAACAGTGAAAGGAATATAAGAAATGATAAGACCACGGCTGATGCCAAACTGTCTTTTCAATTTGCGTGCGTCCACATATTTTATACATTCTATGTTTAGACCCCAGTAACAGCATAATTTGTATCAAAGTTTTGTTGATAGACCACAACAGAGTGTTTTCAGATTACGTGGCTGAGCTAATTTATGTTTACATGAGCCACCCATCCATCCGAGACAGTATGTTAACCTTGTAAAATATATTTTACTATGCACTCTTGTAAAGGGATCGCACATCCATCTGGCACTTTAGCAAGAAAACAGTGCTTACTCTTTTTATGCTACTGAAAACCCAGGGGCCCTCTCTCTACTGTCCATGTTTCCAGTAAAATATCACCTGAAGTGGTAGATTACCAAACATAATAGTATTAGTAGGCCTGTCCTATATTCTAAGTCAGTGGTTCATAACCTGGGTTCGATTGAACCCCAGGGGTTCGGTGATTCAGTCTCAGGGGTTCGGCGGAGGTCAAGGCACAGCCCGACTCATATGTTTTGCGATCAAATTTTGTGCAGTGCAGACGATAGAACTAGCGGCCGCGGCCAATGAAAGTTCAAATACGAGAGCACGACAGCACGACACAATAATAAAGTTCGCCAGAGTGAGATAACACGTATCGGTATCGTGATATTTCTATATCGTGGAACCCTTGACGTCATGACAAGCATACATCACGAATCGTGTCAACGCCACCTGTACAGGCGCTTTGATCGTGTAAACACATGCTGTGATGAACGTGTGCATAACAAACCCAATTTCGTTCACCGACTGAGCATACCTTTTATTTCTATATCGTCGCCCAGTAGTCGACTTGTGACTGTCGTGATGGTAGGTCATGTGATTTCTTTCTTAATATTTTAATCCCTTCATACTAACTATGTCGAGCAAAAAAAGAAAGTGGTCGGACGAATATGTACAATATGGATTCACATGTATGATGGAACGTGATGGGAGCCAGCATCCTAACTGCATGATTTTCAATGCCAAGTTGAGCAATTCTAGTCTAGCACCGGCAAAACTAAGAGAACAATTCCTTAAGCTGCATGGAGATGGAAAATACAAGAACACAACGCTCGCATAATTCAAGGTGAAAGAGTTAGATTCGATGAAAAGGCTACTCTGCCTGTTCTCGGCTTTGTACCCATCAACAAAACGATCCTCACAGCATCGTACGAAGTTGCTTACCTGATCGCAAAGCAGGGCAAACCACACACCATTGGTGAAACACTCATGAAAAGCGGCTGAAGTTAAGTTATCCCAAATTCCTCTTTCAAATGACACCATCAGCGACAGAATAGAGGACATGAGCATAGACATCTTGGCTCAAGTAGTTGCAGATATGATTTCAAGCCCAGCAGAATTCAGCCTTTAACTCGACGAGACCACAGACGTTTCCAATCTAAGGCAGCTTGCTGTATTCATGCGCTATGTGAAAGACAACGTGATAAAGGAAGATTTTTTATTTTGTAAGTCTCTTACAACAACAACTAAGGCAGCCGATGTGAAGAAACTTGTGGATGACTTCTTCAAAGACAAAATATTTCGTGGGATACGCATCGTATTCTGCACAGGCATGCGTTGGCAACAAAAACCTTGTCTACAAAACTGGTAGAAGTATTAAAAATTGTAGTGGAATGCAATTATGTGCGAAATAGTGCTCTGAGGCACCGCTCTGAATTTGAGGTACTTCTGTACCATTCTAATGTTCTGTGGTTATCCCGGGGACAGGTGCTGACTCGTGTTTTTGCCGTGCGTGTGGAATTAGCCCTGTTTTTGCAAGAGCACCAACATTGTTATGCAGATTGCTTCAAAAATTATTAGTTCATTCTCATTTTAGCGTACATGGCTGATATCTTCGCAGCTCGCAATCATCTCAATCAACAGATGCAGGGCGGTGGAGTCAATGTCATAGAAGCGGAAGAAAACCTGAAGGCGTTTCAAAAAAAGCTACCGTTATGGAAAAGACGAACAGAGAATGATGACTTCGCAAACTTTCCCCTGCTAGACGACTGTGTAAGTAAGATCGAAGATGTATCTGGAATCTGAGACATTTCTGTACCAGTGGAACTGAAGCAAGCAATTGCCACGCACATAGTTGAGCTTGAAAAGTCTCTCGACGGATACTTCCCTACAAGAGAGTCACATCCAGCATGGGTGAGACAGCCGTTCACGTTTAGTGTTGAGACAACAGATGTCAATGATGAATACCTCGATGAAATCATTGAAATTCAACAGAGCCAGGTTCAACAGCAACTCTTCAGAACAACAACGCTCTCAACGTTTTGGTGTCAACAAATGGTAACGTACCCTGTTATTGCAAAGAAAGCTCTGGAGATTTTTATACCGTTTGTTACAACATATCTTTGCGAGCAATCCTTTTAGAGGATGCTGGACATAAAAACAAAGAAAAGGAACAGACTTTGTTGCGAAAATGACCTGAGTGTGGCACTTGCCAAGGTGAAGCCGCGCATTTCTGAACTGGTCTCTGAAAGGCAACAGCAGGTCACACTCATATTCATTATTATGTTTTTTGTTTTTGTGTGAAAATCATGTTTTATTGGTTTTGTTCTTTGAACACAGTGATGTTGATGCACCATTCATTTTGTACACCAGTAAAATATATACCGGTACCTATGTTTTGAATTTTAACAAAATCATATTTTATTTTTCCTATTAAGAAGGGTTCGGTGAATGCGCATATAAAACTGGTGGGGTTCAGTACCTCCAACAAGGTTAAGAACCACTGTTCTAAGTATATTATTATAGTATTATAGTGAATAGGCCTATATTTGCTACTATTAGAAGGTCACATTCATTTTGTAAGTGTAGTCGTATGTAATCAAGGCCACAATAAAGAAGCTTAAAATAAAACTACATAATAATACACACAAAAATGTATTTACATTCTATTTTAAATAAACAAATCTCTATTAAAATAAATTACTGATGTGAAAACTAGCATAAATTATATTATAAATTGATATGCATTTGAAAAAAAAGTTAAATGTTTTTACAATTAATCCAGTATTTTTAATTCCCTGTATAATATGTAAAAAAGTTAATGCAAATAAATTATTTTTAATATAAAATTTTGATTCAGTCAAAAGGCTGGACTTGAAGACCTAGATTACTGCAGGTTCCGCACTGACCTGAACCCTTAACTCTAGCATTACTTATATAGAAAACTTTCTAGGAGGGAGTGGGGTGGGAGCAAAATTTTTTAGTAATGTTTTAATGTAGTTTTAATTTACTGTAGCATATTTGTATGGTGAACGAACAGATTGGACACAGTAAAACGAGATCAGCATCAGCTTAGTTACTTTCTTTTTGTTTTCTCTTTACTTTAATAAATTTGTGTCTATTTTTGTCTAATCTAAAAGTTTTTTATCCAATCAATCCGGGAGGGGGGGGCAATTGCCCCCCCCCCCCTGCAGGCGCCCATGCTTATATTGTGTATTACTAATATTAGCATGAGGTCAATATTAATTAATAGGCCTAGGAGTTATTCATGTAGGCCCTATAGCCAAATTAATATAAATGTATGATTTAATTTTTTTTAAAGTTTATAATGATGTGATGTTGAATTATATTATTATGACTTATTGAACCATTGTTTGACACAGGCCTAATTGTGTATAGCTATGAGCATCCTTTAGATACATGACTGGAGTCATCCAGAAGCATTTCATTTGATACATTAAAATAAAACAACACAAATTAGGGGCTTTGGGAATTATGCCTTTCTTAGGGAGGTTTGAAAAAAAAATAAATAAAATTCTAAACTAGTTCTAAACCCTCAGACACATGTCAATGGCCAACTCCAAAAGCAGAATCAAGATTCAGGGAGAATATTCTAGGGAGTTCGTAGTTAATCGGGGCCACAGACAGGAGACTCACTATCATGTATCCTGTTTAACATCACGCTAGAAAAAGTTATTAGGAGCATTCCCATTAGCACCAGTGGAACCATAACAAACTACTTCCAGAGAGATAATACAGAGCAACAACCATCAGGAACCTTATAAAGCCAACCATTGCAGTACCTGGCATATGCAGATGATATAGCACTACTGGGTAGAAGCCGTAATGACATAATTAAAGCATTCAGGGAACTTGAAAATGCCTCATTCAAAGCTGGCCTTGATATAAATGAACCGAAGACAAAATATATGATAATGTCAAGAAACTCCCATGCTGATGATAACATCAATATAAACAACCACAAATTTGAGAGAGTGGACACATTCAAATATCTAGGGGAAACTATAAATGAGATAATGTCGAGGGGAAAGAAAGGATAACAGCAGGCAACCGTTCCTATTTCAGTCTACAAAAGCTACTGGGAAACAAAAACTTATCAAGGGGAACAAAGAAGACAATATACACCACCATCATAAGACCTGTAGTAATGTACGCTAGTGAGACCTGGACCCTCACCAGAAAAGCAGAGAACCTGCTCAACACATGGGAGAGGCAAATCGTCCGCAAAATATACAGACCAGTGATAGAAAATGATATCTGGAGAATACGTACAAACCAAGAACTTTACAATTTGTACAAAGAACCACCCATAGTCACAATGATAAAAAAAGGCAGAATAGGCTAGGCAGGTATGTTGAAAGGTTGCCGGAATGCAGAGCAGCCAAAATTATATACAGGCAGAAGCCTAGGGGCAGACGACTCATCGGTCGCCCAAGGATGAGGTGGATTGATGATGTGGAGACAGATTTACACCAGTTGGGGGTTCGAGCATGGAGACGGAAAGCCATGGATCGTTCCGAATGGAAGGATGTGGTGGAGCAGGCCAGGGCCCTACATGGGCTGTAGTGCCACTGATGATGAGTTCTAAACCAAACTATTTTTTATTGATATTTTTTACAATGATCACTGACCGTAAAGCAGTGCTGTAAACTATAGGTTTTCATTTTAATACTGTTCGGCAACTCTATACTATTTGAAATTAGCCATCCTCTTTGAACATTTTATAAGAAAAATGTCACCTGTCAGATAAACAGACATTATGTGGTCTTAAAACCATCTTGTTTACTGGTTATTCTAAAAATAACATTTTATTTAAGAAGAATCGGGCCAATTAATAATTAATAACTTTTTTTGTTATGTTTTAGATGGTCTCTCTAAAAGGGGTCTTGCTCCTATGTCTTGTGGGACTTACAAATTCCATGAATCTCAACAAAGCTAAGCATGAAAATGTACTCTTCTTTCAAGCTCATGAAGAAAATTTAGATACAGTGAGTAGTCCATTGTTTTTTATTTCTGTATGCATACTAATCTGTTAATATTTTTTCTCTTTATTTCTTCAGAAAATATTTTACTTGAAACCTTTATTCATAAGATATCATAAAAAACTATAAGTAGCTAAGTAGCATTAATTGCAGACCTACTTGTTTAGCATCATTGTTGTTCTTTATTTTAGGGTGTAGTAAACATATTAAATGGGGAAACTTTTGCATAAATTTCTGCCATTTATAAGAGGTTGTCAGTGTACTGAAAGCCTTGCCATCTTCTGACATTTTCTTTCCATTTACACAACATGAAATATTTTCATACCTATCTACTTATGGTTTATCCAATATTCATTTGCATTTACCCCCCCCCCCCCCAATAACAATGTACAAGTAGGTGTTATTCATATCTTCTTTCTTCCTGTCTTTAGTTTTTCTTAAACTGACTTGTTTGAATATGTTATTTTATTTTCCTTTCAATTAAAAATTTAGGGGAACGATAATTTCAATTTGTTAACATCACATGACTCAAATTTATATTTACTTATTTCAAATAATGATTTTTTTTTTTTCAGCCTTTCATGTAATGGACAATCTAAATTAAAATATGTACTTATGCTTTTTCTGTGCTCACAGCAACCTGTTGTGACATTATCTAATGGCTCATGCCCTAATAACACTCAATACTTCTGTTCCACAAACTACACTTGCTGTAAAGCGAATCCAAACTCTAAGGTTCCGTTTGTGTGTTGTACTTTTTCAGAGGTGAGGAATTTCAATGTTCGGCCTGACATCTTTTCATTAAAAACCTAAAACTAAGTAATGATTTGATTTAGCTTTATGGCATCAAACCTTTTTGAAGGGATTTAAGAAAAAAATTTTTTTGGAATAGTTCACTGCCTGTGAGAATAAAAGTGTTTCTTACAATAATTGTAAGAAAAATGTAATTTTAACTGGTCAAAGTTGTTGTTTTTAAAGGGGTATTTTCCTTATAACTACTTCTGAGAAATTAGATTCCCAAATTTTTAGTGTAATTTTTTAAATTGAATATTTCATGTTTGAGAGGGCTTGCAGTCTATTGACTAGGACTTGACAGGCAGTGTGTTGGAACCTCAGATTAGTCATATTTGCCCGATGAATAACTGCAGAGAGATTTTAAAAAGATTTTTTTTTAAACTGACCTTAATAATAGTAATATTTTAGGAGAGTGGATAAAATGTGTTATGCATTTAAAAATCTGAATAGGTGTTTTACATTGAATTCAATAAATTTAGTAATAGTGTAACATTGATTATAATTTACGCAACCCGCATATAATTCTAAAGCTGTGCTGTGGCCAACTTTTATGTTTATTCACTTTCATTTTAACATCTAAATATAGTCTGTAAAGAAGTCATTATTATTTATTGAAATTTGGTATATTAAATAAGTGGTTAACTGAGTATCCTTGGGGACATTTCTTTATTTAATATTATTTTGTCAGGGTGTTTGCTGCCCTGATGGTATGCATTGTTGTCCTCGTGGCACTTTTTGTGACATGCCAAACAGAAGATGTTTCTCCAAAAATCAAGAGAGGGACAGTGTTACCGTCCAAAACTGGAACACAATGTTATATGGTCATTTAAAATTCCAATCAGCAGAAAAGGTCTCTGATTTTAAAATTTCTTTCCATTCCATTTCAATTTCTTTCTTTTTTTTGTGTGAAGAAAAATACATTCTGTTCCTTTTACCATCTTCTTAAAAAAATACTTTTGTTTTGTCTATTGGACTTAATTTAAATTTAAAAAACACTTAACTTAAAAGGCGCTCATTAAAAAATAAGTATGAAATCTTTAATTGACATTTAGTAATAGGAAACAACTTCTCTGACAACACATATTTGGAACATTTTCACATTTAACCTGTTATATCACATTTAAAAGCATCTGGCAGTAAATTCAAATGTTTAAATGGACATAATATTTCTCATTAAGTAATTAAAAAGATGCAACATTCCCACTGAGCCACTTGTTCACATTTGTTTAATAATGTGGAACCACTCTAACAAGTATTGGATTTAACACAAATTATAAACTGTTTTTGACACACCTGAAACAAAATGAAATTTTAGCAACATTTTTACAAGCCATTTCACCCCAACATTTCCTGTTTCTTAAATATTATTTCTAAAATTATCTATTTTTCTTTTAATTTACTTGTATACTTATTAGAAAAATAAAGATTTCTGCAATTATACAAGAATCAGCTGCTGTATCTAACAAGCAGTAGAGATATTGTGAGACTATATATGAAAGTGTTTTTTCCACCTAAGCCATCTCCATATACGTCCCTGCTAAATTTTTGAAACTGCATTCATTCATTTTCTATACCATTAAACAAAGCCAGGTCATAAATTATGTTTCCATTTAAAATGCAAGTGCTTTAGTATTCAGCACATTTTTGTGTTTTCTTCTTTATACCTTTAATTCTTGTTACTTAAAAAATTAAATAGTCAGGCAAAAATTGGTTTCACATTTTTCATTCATATGAAGGAGTTTTTAGGAATTGATTACATATTTTCTTGTCATTTGATGTTTCTGAATATCTAGATTACAAAAATTCTTTTAGTGAACAGATTTTCTTTTTGAGACCTCTGTTTTTGTGCAGATTGTGTCTCTCTTAAATTAAAAGAGAGTACAAGTGATATTATACATACATTTTAAAGGTGTTGGTGATTTGCAAAATTTCAGTGTTCATGCCTTTTTAAAAATGTGAAATACATTATTATATGCCCTATAAATATATAAAAATATTGCCACTTTGTTAGATTTATTTTCAAGAGTTGATTTTTTTGTTACATTTTTAAAATAATGAAGTAAGTAAACTTGATAGTTCATTAACTGCTTTTTTCACTAAGCTAAGTTATTATTTGGATATTCATATTAATATTAATTATTATATAAATTATATAAATATATTATAAATTATGAATATTTCTTCTGTATAATTACTGAAAAGCTCTAGGAGTTACCCAGATTGACGATATGGGCCATTCACCACTCATTATGTCCTAGACTATGTAATCTGACAGCAATTGAACTTATTAAAAAATAGATTATCTTTAAAGGTTAGACTGGTTTGATAAAGTTATCAAGATATGTGTACGTGATATTTAAAGGCTTGTACGTGATGACTTTGTATTGCCTTTGACCTTCTTTTTTATTATTATTATATATTCCCTTTAATCTGTAAGAGTATCCTTTGAAATGAATTCTTTGAGCCTTTCTTAATCCCAACCATATTTTAAAGAGTTGAGCAACACCAACAGTGTATGAGATCATGCTTGATTTTTGTTTCTAACCTTGACATATTCTTCAGGCCTTTAAACAGGTTGATAGGCCAAGTTCTGTCTTTCTTTCTTTCTATTTTTAAAATGTTGGTTTTGTGAAGTCTGACATAGTTAAACTTAAAATCACTATTTTAATTCTGGATAAGCTTTCACCAGTGATACACAAAGGGTCATTGTTATCTTATCTCTATACAGATGGTCACAGGATCAAATTAATATTAAATCTCCAGATCAGCTAACAAATCAAGGTCATTGATAATGAACATGGAAGAATGAGATAGTATTGATTTTGTCTAGTCAGTAAGATGTTTATTATAGGGCAAATACTAAAATAAATATTTTGTCTTAAACTTAGAGATTTATGGAAATTTTTTTTCACAATCATTATTTTAACAATAATATACTCATGCTTTGAACAGTGCAATCCATCCTCAATAAAAAAAAATTTGGTTACTTTATAAGAAATTAGAAACAATCTGGCGAGAAACTAAATCATTATTACATCAGATATCTATTACAAAAATCATGTCTCTTTACTAATTGCTTTTACTTGCGAGTTTCCTCCTTCAAAGAAAAGCACTTACTTAACAAAAATAATCATTTTTTAAAGAAATCTAAAAAAAATTATTATGGCTTCATTAATGTTTATGATTTTCTATATTACATTTTTCAGCTAATTACGATCATACTATTTGGCATTATTTGTATTGCAGTGATCAAAATTTTATATAAATGTAACAATATACTGCCATTTAATTTTATTTATTTTACTGCATTTTTGCCTAATTAAATTGATGTGTATAATCTTTTTCCTCATTAAAACAGCCATTGAGAGTTATGTGAGTCCTGTAACACCAATTGTGATATTCAAATCCCCAAAATAAATATTGAGCAAATAATGATGATTCACTGTGGATAAGGATACACTTAGTCTGTTTTACAAAGCAGCACACACATTTTGTAAAGAGGTTTCAAACTATTCGTTACTTCCTTGTAAAGGGAGATCCATGTAACAGGATATTGATTTTAAAAATCAAAAACTGAAGCGATCGAATTTTATTAAATTATTACAGTTAAAATTGGAACTTGCTATCAATGTCATAAACATTCTTTAAAATCTATTATATTTAAATTTTTATTAATAAAGTTGTATAATATTAATTATTTCTTTATGACAGGCAGAGGTGACCTGCAATGATGGCTCTCAGTGCCCTGATGGCAGTACTTGCTGTCAACTGGCCTCTGGGAGCTTTGGTTGTTGTCCTCTTGTACAGGTCTGTAATAGCTCTTTTATCACTTTTTTTAAAATTGCCAAGTGATTCATTTAAAGATAATAATAATAATAATAAAAAAGTTCATTTCAAAAACACGCTTCATCCCCAAAGGCTCGAAGCGCGGTACAAAGTCAACAAAAAACAAATCTATAGTTTACCACATTTAAAACAAACGCAACACGACAAAAACTAAGTACAAGCATACAATGGCAAAGTCTTTCTAGCCATTTCAACCATAAGCAACACAGCCATTATGCATTAACTGGAAAATAATGTTGACAATCATCCCAGAAGGTGTTTGCGAAATAGATGTGTCTTTAAATCGGTTTTAAAGGACTCCAGTGTCTGGTTGTTTCTGAGATCGACAGGAAGGGCGTTCCAAATTAGTGGACCAGCAAATGCGAAAGCGCGCTTTCCGTAAGTCTCAAGGCAAACACGTGGTGTCGAGAGTTTGCCACTATCGGATGAGCGGAGCTCTCTAGTGGGTACATAAGGCGTCAGCAGCTCTTTCAGATAGGACGGCGCCAGGTCATGTAAGCAGCGGTAGCACAAAGTTGCGATTTTGTACTCCATGCGAGCACGCACTGGCAGCCAGTGCAGCTCTCTCAGAAGTGTTTTTGCATGGTCAAACTTGCGTTTGCGGAGAACAATGCGAGCCGCATTATTCTGTGCTATTTGAATTTTATCCAGGAGCGTAGCTGGAAGACCCACCATAAGAGCATTGCAATAGTCCATGCGTGATAGCACAAATGCAGACATCAGCCTCTTTGTTGCATCAATTGTTAGGAAGGGCCTGATGTGACTAATCCTGCGCAGCTCTAGAAAAATCGCCTTGCATAGCATGTTAATATGACTTTCAAAAGTTAGTCTTCCATCTAGGTAGACACCCAGGTACCGCACTGTTTGAGCTAACTCAATACGCACACCTGAGAGAGTAATGGATGTAGTGTTATTTGCAGATTTTTGCTTCTGAGCGGTCGCGATGGGGAGCAGCTCAGTCTTATCATCATTTAATTTGAGCTTGTTTATCGTCATCCAGTGCTTAACCGACTCCATTGTCTTCTGTGTCATACTGAGCAGCTGAGGGAACTGAGAAGGGATCACGGATTGATGAAGTGTACTATGGTTAACATTGATATCACCAGCTTTCATTCGTATATATTTCTCTTATGCAATTTACTTCCTCTACACTGGTATTTATAAAATACTATCCAACAACCCTGTCATTGTTCAGGTTTGCATTTTTAAAAAAACGTCTAAATCTTATCATCAGGCATGTTAAGTTAGGGTCATGTCAAAAACACTTAGCTAAAATAACCATCAAAATTTAAAAGATTCTCCTATAAAATAACCAGATTTTTTAATAACTCCTGTAAATTTTTAATTTGGAGTGTCTGTTAAAAACCATGATTTAATTTAAAGATAATAATTGATGGACTGCATTCAAGTTGTGTAAATGAAATAGTAGAACAAGGTATGTTAAGCTTGAATTAATATAACGGACAACAATATTTGAATGTTTCGGCTAAGAGCCTTCTTCAGCAAACAAGACAAATAGAAGTAAGACAAGTAACAGAGCACAGTAAAAAAACTTTAGAGATCACTTTGTTGTTGCCAGAAGAAGGATTGTAGGAAGTGAAAGAATATAAATATTGGTACTGTGAAAATATGGTAGAGAATCTTAATGGACCAAAAGATTTAGGGATACATAAAATTTAAGGAATAAGAAAAAAAGAAGAAATACAGGGAAATTGAGTAACATTAGTTAGAGAGTATTTGATTCATACCATGTAGAGATGAATTTTGATCCATTGGCTTGGTTTTCCTGTTTTAAGCTGACTGATTAATATACAAAAAACACATATAATCACACTGAGCTTTAAATAGTAGATGTAGGTGCCACCTCCTGTATCTCTTGATATATTAATACACATTATGATTAATAGAAACTGGGCAAGCTTTGGGTAACTAAATCCCCAACCAACCAAAGTTGTTAACCAAGTATTCTCAAAATGAATCTCAAAACCAGCCCTCCATGCAGACTCACTGTCTTGTGAACTCCTTGTGCAGACTAACTGTCTTGTTTGCCTTCCATGCTGAATCACTGTCTTGTTTGCCCTCCATGCTGAATCACTGTCTTGTTAGCCCTCCATGCTGACTCACTTTCTTGTGAGCCCTCCATGCTGACTCACTGTCTTGTTAGCCCTCCATGCTGACTCATTGTCTTGTGAGCCCTCCACGCTGACTCAGTCTTGTGAGCCCTCCATGCAGATTCACTTTCTCATGAGCTCTCTAATCATACTCACTGTCCTGTGAGAGCCTTCTATGTAGACTCACTGTCCATTGAGAGCCTTCTATGCAGACTCACCGAAGAACAATTTACCATGTAAAATCATTTCAATGAAACCAAGTCTACAAATATTTATAAGTTAATATATTTTTTACACTTAACTTTATATTGTTTATAGGCTACATGCTGTGATGACCATGTCCACTGTTGTCCGAATGGCTACAAATGTGACCTATCAGCTGGTACCTGTGTCAGAGGAAATCATGTCTTGTCCTTATTCACTAAACAGCCAGCCAAGAATCCACCTATCCAACTTACTCTGGTAAAAAATGTCAAAATTATCAGTTAGCCTGTTTAACATGTCAGCCTCATAAGTATATTCTCTTGTGCTTCTTCTAAATATTAAATTTGAAGTACTGCTTTTAATTTAAAGTGGGGTTGATATTTTAAAAAGCTAATTGTACATTTTATAGAAATCAAAACCAAAGGTATTGAATTTTCTGAATAGCCCACAACTTATAAACATGGGGTTGTCCTTTGACTTAATGTTTTACAGGACCTTGCATAAATTACACAGCCCAACAAACAAAAACATCCTTTTTCCCGATGCCTTGGCCTTGAGTTTTATGCCTTTTTCTAGTGTTCTATGCCTGTTTCTAGTACTTTTGTGGCATCGATTCCAAATATGGCATCATGTTTTCTGTAACAGCTCTAATTTTTCAGATTTTGTTTAATTTATACAATTTTTGTCTGCTCTATATAAGATCTTTTGTGAAAAATCTTGATATCATAAAAACCTTTCTTATTTAAATGGGAAATGTTTGTATTTAAATTACCCCTAATTTTTTTGTACATAAAGGCCTTTTTCTATTTTCTTTCTATAATACACTCAGGCATAATATTGTCGAAGGTAAAAATTGACATCGTTTTGTTTAACTAATTATGTGCAAAATATTTAGATTTGATTTTTCTTAGACTACATAAATTTTTATTTTCAAAGCTTCTCAGCCAAATCTGTTTAAGGCGGTTGGGCATAGATTTTATTTCCTATTTCTGATTTTGGTTTTAAAAAAAGTACACATACATTTTTTTTTTTGGTGCCAAGCTTGGAGATCAATATAAATCATGGGCTTCTTATATTGCATACAAAACTTGTAACAGTATGGATTCTTTTCTCTAGTTGACGTATGGAAGAGACTGTAACGATCCAGATATTGATTGGTTGTGTTCATCAGATTCTTTTACACATTCTTATGTCTTAATAACACTGAATTGAACACAAGTTCTTTTCCATTAGTAATGTAACTTTAGTTTATAACTATATCTGCAGGCTGTGCATTTAATCCTACACATGTATCGTGCTGCTTGCTATATGAAGAGAAATAATACACAAACATCCATGTACTCGCCAACTAACTGGCGGGAAAAGCATTCATTAACTATTAACTCTCAAAAAACAAACTGCCCTCGATAAAACACAATATCCGGTGCACAACAATTATCAGTCAATTCCCACGCTCGACAGAGACCATGCCTTAAATTAAGAGTAAAAGTGGTATGGAGGGAACCAAAAGCCACTACAGTGGCTCTTCTATTAGTCTTGTTAATTTCATAAAAAGAAATGATTCAGCTAGGAGACATGTTCCATCGCCAGATTTTATGTCCGTTTCCTCAGGTTTGTGTACTACCACATATCTCAGAGGATAAAACATGCATGTCTTATAGCGCACAAAGTAAGGAACTTGGGCAGTGATATAATTTCCAAACAACTTCACAGAGTGGACATTTTAACCAGAATGAAATGAGGGATCTGATCAAATCTTTCCAGGTCTTTCCTGAATTTCTTGTCTCCAGACTTAAGGAAAATAATGTACATTAGCCTGGAACAAACAGTGCATTTAATCAAAGGAGATGGAAGGATTTTCTATTATTCTTTAATTTTACTTAAGACAAGAACTTGTTATCAGCAATGAGATCTCCTTAAGATCATTGGTCGTCCCGAATATGACCCAAGTGGGGAACTTCTTTGCATCTAGAATTCAAAACTGAGTATGAAATGTGTTCTTTTAAATGATTGCAACAAGTATGATTGTATACCAATAGGTCAATCTACCAGGATGAAAGCATGATACAGGCCACATGTGTAGTCTTTGAAAAGATTATTTACCAAAAGCACCAATGAGGGATTTTTGTAGACTTGTAAGAGATTTTATTTTTGGTTTACAAAGTGGCTTTACTAAGTGCTTCTTATGTCTTTTGGGATAATAGCGCCAAACATGAAAATTGGACCAGAAGAGATTGGCCTCAGAGAGAAATATTGTGGTGGGAGGAAAAAAATCTTATCGATGAAGATTTAGCGATATGAGAATGAGATAGAATCTATAAAACGAGAGATAGAATCTATAAAACGACACGCCTGCCTGAGAAAACAGTTTTGAATGAAGCCGATTCTTGCATTCAATATACACAGCAAATAAATTATCAGGAATGAAAGATTTCACCATGACATATATATGCAACGGCAGCGAGATAACTTAACAAGGAAGATGAAATGCACATTTGATGGAGATTTTTGTTTGAATCTTATGCATGCTTTCTCCTACATATCTTAGCTTTAAAAGTCTTACAGATGGAGATTATTTGTGCACATTAGCTGGAAAGTTTATAAGCTGTTCTTTTAGCATAAAATAAGCACATGTTCATGTAGCACACTTTTAAAATATAATTCATTATTATGTTCCATGCTTACAAAATTAGACATGTTCAGCATCTCAAAAACTTGAGCTGATGGGGGGAAAAATATGTGCTGTAAATGGAATCAATGTGTTAAATATACATGGAAACAAGTCTAATATTTGAGGTACCAAATTTTGTTTTTGCCAATGTTATCAATGAGTTATTTTTCTCATGTTTTATTATTGTATATTTTTTCAAAGAATGATACCCCCAACTCGATCAATGAGAAATCAAAGGTAAATACCCTTGCTGAAAGTGTGGTATGCCCAGGAGGCCAGTCCCAGTGTCCTGATGGAACAACATGCTGTAGAATGCAATCTGGTGACTATGGATGCTGTCCTTATCCAAAAGTAGGTCATAACATTTGCAATACATGATATTTTTTTTAAAGATCTTTTTGGGATCTTTACTGGAATATTTAAATAAAGCTTTTAATTCAGTTATTTTCACTTAGTGTTATTTTGAAGAGAAAAAAAATCTAGTTAACATTTTTTTTTAATTCTGAGATTTTATACTGGTTTATGATTGTCAGATTTGCCCAAGCTTGTGAATTACAGTTTTTTCATTAAAAAATTAGATTTATGAAATTGTTATACCGGTACGAGATTTATAAAAATAATATTCACATTAACAATTTTATTTATTGTAATTGCTATTTAACTCATCATGCAGTCTTCAATGCAAGATTTTATAAAAACTTGATTCTTATAAAATAGGATTATCTGGTTTGTATTTTTGATGGGCACAATCTTTTATACCTATCATTTACAACATGAATAAATGTCTTTAACTGTTAGTAAAAAAACAGTTGATTGGTGGATTTGATGGATTCAAGCTGCTAAATTGTTTAATATTTCAGGCCGTTTGTTGTTCAGATGGCCTCCACTGCTGTCCAAATGGCTACAAATGTGATGTTGCTCAGGGTGAATGTAAGCAAGGGGCAGACAGAGTTCAGTGGGTAGAAAAGGTTTTAGCAAAGAGTAGAGAAGAAGTTACATGTAATGATGGATCTTCATGTCCTCAAGGCTCAACATGTTGTCAGTTGGCTTCAGGGAGTTATGGGTGCTGCCCACTTCCACAGGTGATCTAATTATGTTTAAAATAAATATTTTTATTTAAAATTGTTGACTTTTAAAAAAAATTTAAATTCAATATTTTTTAAACATGTTAATGGACTATTTGGGAAATACTTCAAAGGAAATTAATAGATGTCTTATTCAGGCTGTATGCTGCGATGACCATGTGCACTGTTGCCCCAATGGCTACACTTGCGATGTTTCTGCTGGCACATGTAACAAAGGAAATGATATTGTAGCCTGGCTGACCAAACAACCAGCCAAAACAGTTGTCAATGATGTACCTTGTGATGACACCTCATCTTGTCCTGATGGAAACACTTGTTGTAAATTGGCATCTGGACAGTATGGATGTTGTCCACTACCAAAGGTTTATAACATATTTTAACAGATTTGAACTCCTATACAAAGATATTAGAAATTATTTAACCTTTAGCATATATAACTGGAAAGAACCCGAAAAATAATTTACATATAAAACCATCAAAGACCAAAGGAAATGAAATAAACTATACATTTTTCTTTTAACTACCGGTATTAAAATTATTTTCATGATATTTTACATTTAAATTGAAAAATTTGCCTTTTAAAAATTTAAGATACATAAAAAGGAGCTGATGAAGATGCAACGGATTCTTACAAATATGATTGTGATTTTTGTATCATTTTATGGAAATTAAATCAATTTAATTAAGATAATATAAATCTGCTTTATGCAAGTATAAGTAATCTTTAATATGTAAGTACTATTATTATAAATAAATTACTATAATAATTAAATCTTTGTAGTTCAGAGGCATGGCAAAGTTTGGGTTGGTTTATAAAGAGGATAAATATTTCTCAAAACTCAATGATGTTAGAAATGTAAACCTCTACTCATAAATACTTCTTTTTTTTTTTTTTTAAATTAAAAAAAAAGGGTGACGTCTGATTTACTATTTCAATACATTTCAAGGTTGTGGAAATTTTTTTTTTTTGAGGATACAATATCTCAATTCTCGATTAAGGTACTTACGTAAAAATTAATATTTTTTGAGACTTTTGCAAAGTTTTTTTTTTTTTTTTTTTAAATTAAAAAAAAAGGGTGACGTTTGATTTACTATTTCAATACATTTCAAGGTTGTGGAAATTTTTTTTTTTTGAGGATACAATATCTCAAGTCTCGATTAAGGTACATACGTAAAAATTAATAGATTTTGAGACTTTTGCAAAGGCATGTAGCGCAATGTGCCTTCTATTTTTATCCCGGTAATAACCGGGTCATATTTTCTAGTTTTATATAAATTAATTGAGGAAAAGCTTAGTACTATTAGTATTCAGATAAAATGGAATCCCTATTTAATTCAGAATGTTGTCCCCTTATAGTGTAGACAGTACCTAAACTTACACACAGAAACTGTATGGTTAGATTTTTTAATTAAGCTACATTTTTTTAGGTATATAAAAATTATTTATTTCAAATTTTATTTGTCATAGGCTGTATGCTGTGATGACCATGTCCACTGTTGTCCCAATGGCTACACTTGCGATGTTTCTGCCGGCACATGTAACAGAGGAAATGACATTGTAGCCTGGCTGACCAAACAACAAGCCAAAACAGTTGTCAATGATGTACCTTGTGATGACACCTCATCTTGTCCTGATGGAAACACTTGTTGTAAATTGGCATCTGGACAGTATGGATGTTGTCCACTACCAAAGGTATTTAAAAAAAATTTCTTAACTTTTTAAAAATTATCTCCACTCATTGTTTTTAATGGAAAATTGGTCATACTTGGATTTGTCCAATTGTCTTTGTCTTGAGTCACTCTCGCAAGCTCAATCCTCATTTTCCTTGCTTTCATCCTCTCTTTGTCTAGATACCTTAGCAAAATGTGATGTGTTCATTGGCTGTTTGGTTTTATTTTCCCTGCTTGGCATAAAATCCTAATTTCTAAGTGGCCTACTTCTTTGTTCTCCTCAGTGTTTGACAGTAAGTGAAGAAAGCAACATTTTTGAAACATCAATATTACTTGCCTCCCTCACATTCTTATAACAGGAGAGTAGATTTATTTTTACCATCTTGTTTTTGTGTGTGTTTTTCATATAAATGAAAGTGTTGCTAGAATGAAATAGTAAGTTGCTTTTGACAACTTCCAAATAGGATAGCAGTGGATTTTAAAGCTTTGTACTTTACTTTCGTTTAGTCGTTTAAGGGATGATGAGTATGTTCAATCTTCTAAATAACCATCCAAATGTTATTGAATTGATTTTTTTTAAATGCAAACATCTTTGAATAATATATTTAAATTCTCTCTCATCTTAGATGTTCATAAATTAAATCTTACCAATAACTGTAGTAATAAATAAAGATCCTACTGCACGGACTGATTCTACTCTACTGACTATTTCTATTCTAATTTTATTTAATGAGAACTACACACTTTACCGTAACAGCATAGACAATCCTATACATAAATTTATCAGATTGTGCTTGAAAGCAAAATCCCACAAGGTTCTAATAGGGCGCTCTACACACTCAGAACCATGCCAAAGACGCACACCAATTTCACACCATATCCTATCCTCAACACATTCTATTCCTTGTTGTTTTCAAGGTCCATTGACACAATAGCCATTTGGTCAATATACTTTGATTATGATGTAATGTTTAATTTGTAAGCAAACTAATATTAAAGCTGATCAATTTGTTAAAGATAAATAATTTTGAATTATTATTTTAAACTTATGATCTCAGGCTGTATGCTGTGATGACCATGTGCACTGTTGCCCCAATGGCTACACTTGTGATGTTTCTGCCGGCACATGTAACAGAGGGAATGATATTGTAGCCTGGCTGACCAAACAACCAGCCAAAAGAGTTGTCAATGATGTACCTTGTGACGACACCTCATCTTGTCCTGATGGAAACACTTGTTGTAAATTGGCATCTGGACAGTATGGATGTTGTCCACTACCAAAGGTTAAGAAAATAATTTAATGATTGTAACTTCAACACCCAGATAGTAGGAATGATTTAACATATTTAATTTTATATAGCCTCTTCAATTATAGGCCGACACGACCCCTCACCTCTAGAAAAAGCGTACACAGTGCCCATAAGCTGACCTCCAAAATAATATGCATTATCATCAATGGCACTACAGCCCATGTAGGGCCCTGGCCTGCTCCAAAATAATATGCAAGTGTAAGAATTGCAGTACTAAAGAAAATATATTTTTTTTATTCCAGACTTTTCAAAATAATTAATGTGTAATAAAAAGACTTAAAAACTAATCAACATACCGGTATAATGTATTGTGCTTCACTTGTTAAATCATAAATAAACTTTTACAAAAATAGAAGACTATCGCTTGGAAAGAAATGTAGTTGCATTTTCTTTTCTATGTGTATTCTGCTATAAATCTCAATTAACAAGTTTGGCTAAGACATTTCAACTGCTGGAAAGATTGTATAAAATATAAACATCAAACATTTCATTATTGAATGTAAGTAGACTATTTTGATACTTTCTTAGCACCCCCAGTCATGACAGTTGCAAAATGAGGACAACAGTTGTGACCCAAATTTGCATGTGGCCTTAAGATAACTTGATTTAATTACTTTTTTTGGACACTTTTTTCTTGAATTGATGTACCAAGAGAAAATTATAAAAAAATCTGCTATGACCCGCTCATAATCCAACCACTTATTCCCCTGAAATATTTCCACACAAAAAGTTTGGCTTTAGAGCGAGTATATATGGTAATAGTTCATACATATAATTAGCAAGTACCAAGGAAGAAATGAAAGAAATAGAGCATTTTTCTTGCCACGTATAAAATTATTTGCATGATTTTGTTTTTAATTAAATGAAAATTTGACTTAACTTTTAACTAAAGAATTTTTTTTTTTTAAATTGCCTTGCCTTGCAATCCAACATGGGTCATCGGCAACGAGTCTATGTGTCAAGTTCAGCTCGATAGGATGACGGGAAGTGGGTAAATTGACCTTCCGAAGATTTTGCCACATAGAAACACACGAACAAAAGCGAAGTTAATATAAAGGATTTTTAAATTTAAGTTACAAAATATGAAATTCAGACACATAGATTACATTCACATTTTTGTTTTTTTTGGTGACAATAATAGGGTTTAGAGTGATTGATTTTACAACAGCCGGGAGGAGTAGGTTTGTCAATTCTGACAAGATATTGGGGAAAAATGAATGTTTACATCTTTTGGTCCAACGTAACATTGACCACATTGAGGCTATTGATGCTTTGTCTGAATAGAGTCATTACTAAATCTGTGTGTGCATTAGAGGGCCATATTTTTTAGAGGATGTAGTCAAGGGTCGCCACTGCTTCTCCACCCTTCCGCAAATCCATATCCTGCACTTTGAGTTCAAATCACTGGTACACTAAATAGGGATACGACAATCATACGCAAACATTGCACAACTACAGGTCAGTAACAATAGATGATGAGCTCAACAACTGACTTTTCCAAAGCAAATGATTTATTTGGAAGAGTGTGTGGGAGAGAAGGGGGTCTTAGTCTTGTCACTAAGCTGAAAGTATATAGGGAAATCATATAAGCATCTCTCCTATATGCTAGCGAGACATGGACAGTTTCCAGCAGACATGCTAGACAGCTAAACCATCTCCACATTTGCTGTCTACAAAAACTTCTTGGCATAAGGTGGCAAGACAAAGTCTGTGATACAGAAGTCCCACAACTCTATTCATCCTTGCTGTCTACATAAACTTCTTGGCATAAGGTGGCAACACAAAGTCCCTGATACAGGAGTCCCATAACTCTATTCATCCTTGCTGTCATCAAAAAACAACACTATCTCAAAATCCTCCCTTTGATGATTACAGTCTTTAGAAAAGTTAAATACTTGTGTTATTTACCTTACTTTTTTTTCTGCCCTTAATTCTTTCACTTGTTATGTACATGGTTGACCTTCCAGAGATGAGATGCCTATTACTGCTATAATTTCATTATTACAAGTACATTTAATATTAAATTTAAATAAGTTAGTCCCCAACCTCCCCCCCAAAATATTGGATTTCTCTTCACAGTGCCCCTAAAAGGTGTGGTTCTCATTTATCTCTAGGTTGATCTGGCACTGCAGGAAGAAACTGTGTAAATTCTGCTTTCTGGATATCAACTTTCTGAAATTTTATACATCTATCTAACTTAGCATTATGTAATTTTATCAGATTGATTGGAGAAGTTCTAATGATTATGAAGGGGAACTCCTCCTAAATCAGAACATTGTCCCCCCTGTGGGACATTTCCCCCCCCCCCTCTCTCCGACCTACACACAATAATTATATGGTTAGATTGATGACACATACTACAATAATGTTGGGCCTGTCAAAAGAATGTATTTTAAAATTCATTCAACACAGGCTGTATGCTGTGATGACCATGTCCACTGTTGCCCCAATGGCTACACTTGTGATGTTTCTGCCGGCACATGTAACAGAGGAAATGACATTGTAGCCTGGCTGACCAAACAACCAGCCAAAACAGTTGTCAATGAAGTTAAATGTGATGATTCAGCATCATGCCCTGATGGAACAACATGTTGTAAATTGGCATCTGGACAGTTTGGATGTTGTCCATTACCTAGTGTATGAAGTTTTTTAAGTAAAAATATCCTCTTTAATAAAACTGAACTTGGACTATATTATAGAAATCACTTACTGTATACTCCCATCCCATTACTCTAAATCCCATTCATTCATAATCTGACACCCTTCCCCACTAGTTTTGGTCAGGAAAAGCCTGAAAAGTGTTTAACTTGGTCATAAGCCAACCCAAAATATAATACACTCTGCAAGCCATATAGTACTTAGAAAAGAAAAAAAAAATTTAACCAACGAACTATGGCATAGATCATTCTGTAGTGCGGGAGCTTTTTGAGTGCCTTTTGAAATAGCATTAAATGGCATAAGAAATATTGATACAAGACCCCAATAATTATATATTTTTTACTAATGGAAATGACTAGGGATAAAGTTAGCTATATTGCCCACCATGTAAACAAATTTTGTTCAGTGTCCTTGGAGTGCTCAAGGGAAAAAAATTGACAAAATGTCTTGCTTTCAAGTGCTCATAACATCATTAATTTTTATAGATGCCATTAAAATGCTATATAAATGTGGTAGCCAATTTATTTATCTTTCCGAAAATGTAGTTTGCTAAGGTTTTGATTAAGCCTCTGAAAGCAATTTGAGTAATTTTAGGTCATTTATTACTGAAAAAAAAAAAGAAACTGGGACCATAGCTAAAACCAAGTACAACATACAAAATCTGAGGTAGAAAAGTTATTATTGACAAGTAAACATTTGAAAAAGTATTGTGGAACTGATTTGGTTTGTTAAACTCTAAAATTTATTAGGTAGTTCTGATCTATATTCTTGAGCTTCTGTGACTAAAAAGTCAGTCAGTCCTTGCCCAACCTCCAGGCCTGGCTCACAGTCTAACGGTAGGCCTACTTCAGTATCACAAGGACTAGTATCAGATTCACTTGAAGAAGAATCCGAACTGAGATGGTGATGGGGAATGTTAAAATCATCATCAGTATCACTTAAATCCTCTCTTAAAATGCTGTCAAAAATATTTCAATTAGTTCTCTTACTGAAGGCCCAGCCATAGCTTCAACCATTTTAGCTTTAAAAAAAAACAGCGAAATAAAACTCCGATTAAAAAGTACTTATTGTTAAGTTATCAACAAACAGCTTGACCAGGAAGATTATTTAATTATTAATAAAAGGAAATGGCTGTAATTCTGGGTTAATATTGGATTGGAAGTTGCTATCTGACCGTAATTTTTATCAGCCGATTTTTTTCGGACGCTACAGTACAGAACGAAAATATTGCCGATTTTTTTGTCCGACCTAAGTTTGTGGGTTAAATCCAATTATGTATACTATAACTAAAAGACTTTAAAACTAATAAAAGTCAAGTATAAACATTGATTAAGTTTTTGACATTGTTTTTTTTTCAAAAATTGAATCAAGGTACCTAGAGAAAATTATAAAAATCTCCGATTGTGCCATAGAAATTTCATGACTCCCATGATCCCATTTGCTCTCTTGCTTGCTCTGTTTGAAATAATCTTTCCTAGATAAACAGGGCACTTTTACTGCTCTGACTAGTCTACTACAGAAATAGAAACATCCTTTTACATAACATGGAAAAACACTTGAGCATCACACGTCATTTGTTCTAAACTTGGACTGCTTTTGATTTTTTATTCATCAAAATAGTTGCCTTCTTCTGAGTTCTCCTCTTTTTTATAGCATTTTTATTTATGCATTTCTGTAGAGCGATATTTACTGCAATAATTTTGCAACTTTAAATTTTTATAGAATAAATCCATTAACTGATAAAAAAATTCTTTTACAAAATTGTTAGTTATTGTTTTTAATTAACAAAAAGCGTTGCTATTTTCTTTTCACAGGCTGTATGTTGTGATGACCATGTTCACTGTTGCCCCAATGGCTACACTTGTGATGTTTCTGCTGGCACATGTAACAAAGGAAATGACATTGTAGCCTGGCTGACCAAACAACCAGCCAAAACAGTTGTCAATGATGTACCTTGTGATGACACCTCATCTTGTCCTGATGGAAACACTTGTTGTAAATTGGCATCTGGGCAGTATGGATGTTGTCCACTACCTAAGGTTATTTACTTAAAATTTTACATGATTTTTTTTTTTAATTTCTTATTTTCAGATGTTAAATTATAATTTATGCATTGATAAAGTAAAAAATAAATAAATATAAAATTTTGCTTGAAATAGGGTTTTGCAAAGATTTTTTTTTTTTTATTAAACTCTTCTAAGTTGAAAATTTGCTCCAGAAGAGTCCAATCCTAAAGTGATATAGTTTTAATCATTTCGGTTACCTTAAATAAACAAAATATTTCTACTAATCCACTGAAATAAGAAGTTGCGGTGACCTAAATTAAAAAGTCATGACATCCTAACATGTGAACTGATGCTGACTTTTTTTTGTACTCCACTATTTTTAATTGTAATGTTAGCGGGCAATGGTGCAGGGAATTTCGCAAGAGACCAAAGAACCTTAAAAATAGACATTAATGCTGCTCAGTTACCATATCTAATTTATAGACTTGCATACAGGTTGCAATTTTTTTAACCAAAACTTTATATAAAAATCAGGGGTTGGACCTATCCACTCGACATCAAGTTAGCTTGCTGTAAAAAATGGGTCATGTAACTCCTCCAACTGAGGGTGTGACCTATCTGGGAGTCAACCGCAAATACACACTTTAACAATCCCAAACTAAGGTTGCAACCTATGCACTGATGCGACCTGCATTCTAATATATACATTAGATGCTCATAAGTATATGTTATATTTCATCATACCATGGTTATTGTCAGCATTAAACTTAATGCTCAACTTGCAAAGTGAATCTGAGTAGTCAGACATCACTGTAATGACTACACACTACAGCTTCAGACATCTGATGATCCTATTGAAAAGTCCAATTAGTACTATCTCAAAGCAATTGATTATTACACCAGATGTCTTTGTAAGTTTTTCTCTTTGCTCTAAAGTGGATGAATTCTATGAAAGTAACTCTTTCCTCAATCTGTTTAATTTCTCCCAGTCGTCCTGAGCACACAAATTTTAAGCTTTAATTATCTTATGCAGGCTGTATGTTGTGATGACCATGTCCACTGTTGCCCCAATGGCTACACTTGTGATGTTTCTGCCGGCACATGTAACAGAGGAAATGACATTGTTGCCTGGTTGACCAAACAACCAGCCAAAACAGTTGTCAATGATGTACCTTGTGATGACACCTCATCTTGTCCTGATGGGAACACTTGTTGTAAATTGGCATCTGGACAGTATGGATGTTGTCCACTACCTAAGGTAAATAATTTTTTTTTTTAATTTACCAGTTTTTGTTTATCTTTAATCTTTTTAAATCAAGATATAAAGATGTATTCATTTCTTAAAAGTCTTCCTAGTTTTTAACTGACCTTTATTTTATTTTAGTTTTTGTGTTAGAGGATTTACATAATAAACGTTTTTGCATTGTCCAATGAACATATCCTATTAATAGTAAATTTGTTTAACTAGATCAACAATTTCCAACTGGTATGTTTTTGCATCTGACAATGCAGCTGTGAAATTTTGTGTGACAAGCTAGTGGTAGTGAAAGCTAATTTTGAACATAATTTTGAGTTTTGTTGATTTATTAAAAAAGTGTTGCAGGAAGTTGCAGATCTTTGAGCAGCTTTTAAAAAAAATATACATGGGTACATATGGCATGGATATCACTTCTTTTAAACCAAAAATTCAATCATATTATTTATATTTTTAATTAAATGACATCCCTGGGTTTCTTGCATCAAATTTTTTTACACATGCATAACTAATCACACCAAACTGAGCACAAGTCATTTTTCCAAGAGCAATGACTTAATCTAGAAACATATATATCAGGCTGTACTATGAATCAAATTCATGTATAGCGCAGCTCACAGTAGTAAGTAGAAGAATATAGTACAACCTTCTCCCATTGAATGAATAGCTCATACACAAAAGATAGTCTATTGGCACTACTCACAGCTACCATAAAATCATGTCCCAATAGCTTAATGGTGCTAAAGCCTACATTAAATGAACTAACACACTAGAAAACCCGGCGCAATAAAATACAATATTCGGTGCGCAACAATTACAAGTGAATATCCATACTGACACCAATGATCCTTTAAATCACAAAGAATACGCTTGAACGGGTTTGCCTTTTTAAATAAAAACATTTTACTTTCAACGCAGGCTGTATGCTGTGATGACCATGTCCATTGTTGTCCCAATGGCTACACGTGTGATGTTTCTGCCGGCACATGTAACAGAGGAAATGACATTGTAGCCTGGCTGACCAAACAACCAGCCAAAACAGTTGTCAATGATGTACCTTGTGACGACACCTCATCTTGTCCTGATGGAAACACTTGTTGTAAATTGGCATCTGGACAGTATGGATGTTGTCCACTACCTAAGGTAAGGTCAAAATAAAATAATATATCTTTGTTAACAAAAAATATTTGATGATATAAAATAAGCTGATTCTGATTTCAATGATATAGATTTGATTATGCTTTGAATAGAGGCTTTTAACTCGAGCTGAGATTCAGACAGATGGTACATAGCAGATTTGTAAAAATAATTATTTTATTGTCAACAAAGAAACTTTTCCTTTACCCTGAATGAAATATAAATAAACCTAGGATCTGACTTAGCGAGTTGATTGGTTTTAGTTTAGTGTTTTTGTCAAACTAAGGTATTTCCTTCTTTTTTACAAATATAAACAGTTTGATTACTGTAACAGACATTATTCACCTGATGTATAAAATATTTTATTCATTGTGGATGATAGGAGTTAAAAGTGGACCTAATTGCCAAAAATAGATGTGGCCGTTTAAAATCACAATGAAATAAACGGTAGCAAAAAATGCAACAGAGGTAGATTAACAACTTATCACATGGTGAATCATAGTCCCCTATGTTAAGTTGACACCCCCTAACCCAATTAAAAAAAGGAACCTTACTTTATGTTTGAAACTTGGTCATAATGTGGTCTGACTTAGATCAAAGGTTTTATTGCAAATAACAAAGCTTTTTAAAAATGGTAGTGGCTTGTAAAACTTGCTTGGTGATACAAATTTCTTACATAAGCTTCCCATAATAAACACAAAAAACCAGAATAAATTATTTCTTTCATCATCTTAATTGTATCGATCCTACAAAAATAATCTTACGTGACAGCAAGTAGACACGGCAAAAAAGAGTCTTGAATTATTTTTTTTAACAACTTGGCATCCTTTACTTTTTCTGAAATTTAGTTGACATTTTTCTTGTCACAATTAACACAGGCTGTATGTTGTGATGACCATGTCCACTGTTGCCCCAATGGCTACACTTGTGATGTTTCTGCCGGCACATGTAACAGAGGAAATGACATTGTTGCTTGGCTGACCAAACAACCAGCCAAAACAGTTGTCAATGATGTACCTTGTGATGACACCTCATCTTGTCCTGATGGAAACACATGTTGTAAATTGGCATCTGGACAGTATGGATGTTGTCCACTGCCTAAGGTAAATAATTTTTTTTTAAATTTACCAGTTTTTTTTTTATCTTTAATCTTTTTAAATCAAGATATAAAGATGTATTCATTTCTTAAAAGTCTTCCTAGTTTTTAACTGACCTTTATTTTATTTTAGTTTTTGTGTTAGAGGATTTACAAAATAAACGTTTTTGCATTGTCCAATGAACATATCCTATTAATAGTAAATTTGTTTAACTAGAACAACAATTTCCAACTGGTATGTTTTTGCATCTGACAATGCAGCTGTGAAATTTTGTGTGACAAGCTAGTGGTAGTGAAAGCTAATTTTGAACATAATTTTGAGTTTTGTTGATTTATTGAAAAAGTGTTGCAGGAAGTTGCAGATCTTTGAGCAGTTTTTTTAAAAAATATACATGGGTGCATATGGCATGGATATCCTTTCTTTTGAACCAAAAATTCAATCATTTTATTTATATTTTTTAATTAAATTTAAAAAAAAAAATTGATTTAGTCTACTAGTATTAAATTTGGGGACATTGTAACAAAGGGGATTATTATTAGAGAAAATTTTTGCTTTTGAGTACTAGAAAATTTGGCGATAAGTCAAAAAGAGGTTAGGATTAGGAACCACTTGTTGCAATCATAAAGATTGGTTTTCTCAGGGCGTCATTTCAGTTTTTTTTCAGGAGGGGCCAAACCAGAACTTGGTTGGCTTGTTAAGTTGTTTATTACTGGAGGTACCACAGTACATAGCTATTTAAATAAAACCTACAAATTAAGGGGGGGGGGGTGCCAAAACCCTTCCTGACCTACCTAAATGACATCCCTGGGTTTCTTGCATCAAATTTTTTTACACATGCATAACTAATCACACCAAACTGAGCACAAGTCATTTTTCCAAGAGCAATGACTTTAAGCTAGAAACATATATATCAGGCTGTACTATGAATCAAATTCATATATAGTGCAGCTCACAGTAGTAGGTAGAAGAATATAGTACAACCTTCTCCCATTGAATGAATAGCTCAAACACAAAAGACAGTCTATTGGCACTACTCACAGCTACCATAAAATCATGTCCCAATAGCTTAATGGTGCCAAAGCCTACCTTAAATGAACTAACACACTAGAAAACCCGGCACAATAAAATACAATATTCGGTGGGCAACAATTACAAGTGAATATCCATACTGACACCAATGATCCTTTAAATCACAAATAATACGCTTGTACGGCTTTGCCCTTTTAAATAAAAACATTTTAATTTCAACACAGGCTGTATGCTGTGATGACCATGTCCATTGTTGTCCCAATGGCTACACGTGTGATGTTTCTGCCGGCACATGTAACAGAGGAAATGATTTAGTTTCATGGTTTACTAAAATACCTGCTAAATCTTTATTATAACTTTTTCATTACATATGACTTACTATTGCTATTAAAACAGTTTTTGCTTCTTTTATTGAATGTTGACAGGTGGAAGGGTGTTTATTTTATGTAGGATGAATGTGGTATAGAATGTATAAATGCTTGTACTATTTTTACTGCTAAATGAGAAAGATATCAGAGAGATAGCAAATTTTGAGACATAATTACTTTTTGATACTGGTATGTTCTTTACCCTTTCAAATTTCTTAATGTTTAAGTTAAAAATGGAAAGCCAGGACGCTAAGAGCAGCTGATGCCTTTAGTACCATCCAATAATTATGCACTTGGACTCTTATTGTTGTTTAGACAACTAAGCCTAGTAAGTGCTAGAGGGGAAATAAGATGTAACAAGTTTTATTTGATACACGCTACAGTTACAATGCACAACTAAATTCAGTAGGAATTGTAAATTATTACATGTAATACAAGTACTTACTTTTAGTAGGATGGTAAAGAACTATTAATTTGTGTCCCCGTTTTTTATTCATATTTTAATAAAATTGTTCCAAATGAAAAAAAAGCAAATTTCTTTTGAAAACTTTTTTTTTAAAATATCAATGTTAGTATATTATCTATTCTGAAATTGTGTAATCAATCTCCATACAATTTATAAATATAGGTTTTTCAATAGAATACTCACTAATAACAAAGTTTTGTTACTTCATTTTAAAGGTGTACAATTAATCTTGCATTTCAAATTTGTTCCTGTATTTGCTGCTCTTAAATATTATGCTTCTATTAATCTAAAATGCCTTAAAATTAAAAATTCTTATGATGATGACTAGTTTTAATCCAAGTGTAAAAGATATTTATATATGTATCATATTTTTCCACATTTTTTAATCTGTAATTTTTGTTGTCTTGAGATCATTAATTAATGTTTCAACCCATGTATGAAAGCTAAGGTGCTTGATTCTTTGTTAACATCATTTATAAATGAAAGATCCTTTCAGATAATTTTTTTTTTTTTTTTAATAGTTTTGATAACTGGCAGGTGCAAAAGCATGCAAACGAATCCAGCCATTCAGTTTTAAAATAGTTGTTTGATGAAGCAGGGAAAGTGTTGTTTATGTTCAGCTCAGTTAGTTTTTAAAGCCACACACTCTGATATGTAATATGGCATCCTTAAGTCTTCGTTATGTAATATGGCATCCTTCAGTCTTGGTTATGTAATATGGCATCCTTCAGTCTTCGTTATGTAATATGGCATCCTTCAGTCTTGGTTATGTAAAATAGCATCCTTCAGTCTTCGTGAGACAATGGAGTAGCTATATAGTTCTACACTTTGACGAGTGGCTCACTACGCCAATCCTAGAATGACAATCACGGCCGCATCTCTCGCAGGAGAATATTGAATCCCGGTAAATTCTTGATTTCCGAATTGTTCTTTTTGATTCAAAGGCCTCGTTTCGAGTATCTTCTGCCTTTTTTTACTCCTTCAAACACTGCTGTTTGCCAGTTGGAGCAATGTTCGGCAATGAACTCCCATTCCTTTGTTTCAATATTAGCTTCCCTCATGCTTCGTTTTGCAAACGTCAAATCTCAGGCGCGGTCGTCCAATATGTCTTGTCCCCTCTGCCAACTCTCCATACAGCAGTATCTTTGGGATATGTCCTTCCTCCATTCTCCGTACATGACCTAACCAGCGAAGGCGTCTCTTGATAAGAAAGGAGAATATGCAAAACCTCCTCGTTAGGCACCCTGTCCTGCCAACGAATGCGCAAAATGGGACGCAGACATCTGATATGTATGTTCTCAATGTTCAGTTTATCATAGCATGTGAGATTAAATTAGAAAGTGTTTTTTGGTAAATGTTTAACCTCATTTTCTGTTGAGATTTTGTTTCAGCAACATTCCAAGTTGGTTAAACAATGCCTCTTATAATCCATCATTTGGTCTGTTTAAACTGGGATAACATGGTATATATTGATGTTTTTTTAAAATTATAAACAAACTCAATATAACATCTGTGTAACTGGAACTATAACTGGCAACTTGCCAGAATAATGTTGGTCTGCATCATGTGTTAACTTAAGGTGTTTGCAACTTGCCAGAATAATGTTTGTCTGCATCATGTGTTAACTAAAGAATTTTTTGGTCTAACTTTTGCGAATGGTTTCTAAATGATATCTGATTTATGCTTTTTTTTTTTAATCTCCTCTCTCTCTCTCCCTCTCTCTCCTTCCCCCCCCCCCTCCCAAATTACATTTCATCGCAAAAAGTCTTTCACTCTCTTTGCCCCCTCGCCTTTTAAATAAATAGAAAATAACTTGAAAATAAAGATTTTTGATTTTATTTTGGTTCTTATTGTTGTAATAATAATAAGTGTGGTGATGCATTGAACTAAGGAGGAAAGTTAACGTAATCAAAATTTTATATGGCTGTAATGAACATTTTAAGTAGATAGTGTGTGATAAATTAATTTTTAGTTGCATCATGATGAAAAGTATTTACTTTCAAACTCCATGCCCCCCTCCACTCATACCATTGTCATTTGTTTAATAAAATGAATTGATCAATAAGTTGTGTTAGTAGATATTTCTTAATAAGTCATATAGCTAACGTCTTTATTCCAGCTGTTGATTAGTGACAAGGGTTGCATTTGAACTTAATTCACTCAATGAATATGTGTTGTTGAATTTGTTTTCTCCGGTTACTGGAAATTTGTTTGAAAGAAATTTCATCAATTGATCTAACGGAAATTTGGTCAAATTCTTTTTTCAGGTCACATAGATTTGCGTCAAATTTCTTCTTGATATATCAAAACCCAGAAATACTCAAAAATAAATATTTTCGCGGGGATTCGCCTCTAGCACCAGGCCCGCACTGAGGAAATTCTGGGACCCAGACAGATGACAGAGTTTGGTCCCCTTTCGAGCTTCAAACGTGCGCATATTTAAAAACCTATCTAGCTCGAGCCCCTGACAAATGCCATGGTTGTCTCCCCCCACCCCCAGGTGCGGGTTAGCTAGCACCATCCCTTACCATTTGAGAACGATTGTCTCACAGATTATGGTCTTTGAAATGATGTCTGGGATTTCACGTTTATCTGCTACATTTCCATTTGGGCTGATCTACTTTAGGAAATTAATCTTATACAGCAGTATCTGCAGACTAAAGGCTTTACTCTTGACAAAGTGGTGACCAACCTAGAGGTCTTCAGATTGTTTCTGCACGAGAAGCGCTGGCACTAGGTGGAACATGCTATTGAAAGGGCACTTTTAAAATCGACCAATATTGAATTTCTGTAGAAAGAAGATTAAGGTTTAAGAAGAGAATGGCAGAAGAACAATTAATATATACTGGACTCTCTCTGTAAGAAGAAAACAGTAGGGAGATGCTGAGTGTATTGATCGCTTTAATTCTGTACCCCTGATCAGATCGTCGGGGATCAAGGAAGTAGCAGATATGCTTGGGGGTGTTCAACTTTTAAAAGAAGTACCAATGCTTAGAAGACACCTAAAGGCAGCTGATATTGAATTTCACGTTATGAACTGATCAGTACCGGTATTTAATGTTTTGAAATTCATAGCTGAATGGGACTTCCTAAAATCTCGCTATGCCTTCAAATGTTTCTTACAACATGTGTGTCTTTGACTTCATGTGAGCGGAGCTTTTCAAAACTAAGGCTTATCAATAACTATTTACGATCCATCGTGGGACAGTGGAGGCTTTCTGATTTGTCTCTACCATAAATTGAAAGTGATACGGTGAAGATTATTGATTTTGATCAAGTGATCTGGTTCTGGTAGTGTTCGTTGCTACATCCATATACTGGCATATGCGCAACGCTTGGGGAAGCGATGTTGCTATCCTAACAGCTGTTACAATTCTTCAATACATTTCCCTCCTGACCTCCAATTCATTTGCTTTTTGTTATTGTTATACTGTGGACTTATTTTAACAAGAAGAAATCCATCGTGGAAGTTGGGGGAGGGGGTTGACACCATGAGTTAACCGCACCGGGTGACACCAACCCTAGCTACGCCACTGTAGATATTCACATGTACATATTTCTGGCTACTTTTTGTAGCCCTATGCCCCAATGAAACAGTTTTGGGACACTGTCCTTGTTCTGAAGCCTCGTGAGATTGGTCGTGAGCTCGACCTCCTCCAAATAGCACATTGAGGCGTTTGTATCGGGGTAGCCCGTAACGACCATAAAATCCCCAGCTATTGTAGTATTACTAAAGGTAGTTGTGCCATGCAAGGGCAGGCACAGCGTGTTTCTAGGTGTGTCTCAGGACTAGAGTATCCGTCCCACCAATTTGTCTGCTCTCCGCCAGCTCCGCTGTGAGGGAGTGTCTCACCCGTGTTACCAGCTCTCGGCACTCTACGCAAGTGCAGCGGTGTACTGAGAAACTCGTGATGTGCAATGGGCGTTTCTTCAGACGTGTACCCTAAAGTAGAGCGACATCCACTTCCCGGCTGTGGAGTAGTTTGGTGAGCTCGGGTATTTCCCCTCTGACCCCGCAACAGTTAAGCTGCATAACTACTCGAATATGTCACTAAATAGGCCTATTTAGGATCTTTTAGTCTTTTCCCCGCCATTCAGTTATTCTGCATTTGGAAGCAGGGTTCCTATTCATGTAACTTCCGATACCGTTCTGCGGTAGTTAAAATTGCCTTGTCCCTTCTTTATCTAGAGGCTCTAAGTTGTATCGACGTTGGCTATGATTTCCACAGCACACATGGGTGTGGTTTTGAATGCACCAGAGATGAATCTCAAAAGCTGTCATGGGGCTGCCGAATTTCAAAATATGCAGCCACTGTATGAGACTTTTTCGGGAGACCATCGTTTCTATACTGCAGAAGACGGAGCACCTGGTCTATAGACTGCTTTCCTTATTGAAAGCCCACCTGATTTGCGTTTAAACATTTAGTATTTTCCAGGTACCAAAAATGTCTATTGTTGACCTATCTCTGAGCTACCTTTTCTAAAACGATGTGAGGGGGGTCAGACTTTATCAGCTTGGGTGATCGTTATTTTCCCCTCTTTGGAAATTGGAACGATAGGTAGGGCTCCCGAAGCCCATGATCTGCTAATGATGAATGCTCAATAGCGTTGTCCTATAGCTATAATATCGTGCCAAAATGCGGTAAAAACTTTAGCATACATTTGTTCCTCACTGCTGGGCGTTTCCTCCATGCTTCCTGAGTTGGGTAGGTTTTCGGCTTTCGCCCATGGTCTCTCTCTCTCTCTCTCTCTCTCTGTTTTTAGACTCACCTTAGCAAAATGGGCCTCGTACTTTTGATATCTGTGGTAAACGTGCCTGCCTTCGATTGCAATGGTCTTACTTTTTTAGTTTTCCAATGCCAGAGAGAGAGAGAGAGAGTCATTTTGTTGCCAACAACTAGTTCTGCCATGTATGTGGACGATTTGGTAATCTGGAGCACCGGTAAGGATGTCCACCGCCTGCAAACGCTATTACAGCAAGACCTTTCTGCTATCAATAGGTACATGCGGCGGTGGCACCAGGAAATCAACACCGAGAAGACGGTCTATTCGTTATTCACAAACGGGCGGACCATTCTCAAACAGGAAATCGAGCTCAAATGGGACAAGCAACCGGTTTACCTGGGAGTCAAATTTGATCAAAAGGTGCAAATGCATAATTTTGTACAGGACCTCTGCTCCCAGGCAACCGCCAAGCTCAACCTGGTGAAAAAACTGGCTTGCACAAGTTGGGGCGCGGGCTCTTTTCCTAAGCAGTGTAAGGTCGGTGATGGATTACAGCATGCCGGTCCAATCCTTTGCAAGCAAGACCGCACTGGAAAAACTGGCCCGAATCCAGAATCAGGCTCTGAGATTCATCTGTGGCGCTTACAGGACTACTCCCACAGCTGCTGTAGAGGTCTTGGCCAATGTAGAACCATTACAAATTAGGAGGGAAAAGTCAATATTAAGTACCGTAGAGAGGTACCGGCGGCTCGACGAAAACGAACCAGCCTTCCAAATGCAGAATAACTGGGTGGGCGGCAGGAGACTAAAGAGGTCCTCTTTCATGCATCAGGTTGTGGAGCTGGAAAGGACAGTCGCCCTGCCCCCAAATAGAGAACGTCTGACCTTAATCCCAGTTAATCCGCCATATGCGGAGCCCTCACGTCCCTCTATACATTTGGCCTTGACTGATGCAGCAGTGACGAAGCGCAGCCCTGAACATGTTCAGAAAGCGGCTGCCCTTGAGTCCATGGATGTGTTCGCACACATACCAGTGAAAGTGTTCACGGACAGCTCTACCAGCCCGAGAGAGAGAACTGCTGGGTACGGTGCGCTCATACTGTACCCAGTGGGAGGACCACCCATTGAAGAACTATCGGGGCCTTTTGGGACTGCAGCATCAAATTTTGATGCGGAGCTCATGGCTATACACAGGGCCTTGGAGAGAGTCCACGACACATCGAAAGGGACGGAACATGCGGGGCTTGATGTAGTTGTTTACTCAGACTCAAGATCTGCTCTCGAGATCTTGGGGAAGAGACAAGGTACCACAAACTTGGTCGACCTCATTACCAACGACGTATGCAAACTTGGTGAACTAGGGGGCAAGGTTACAATACAGTGGATACCAGGGCACGTCAACATCAGTGGCAACGAGAGAGCGGACACTCTGGCGAAAACCGGGGCTGCCCAGCCTCACCTAGAAGTACCAATGACTTTCTTGGGAATTAAAAACTGGCTGGCGGATCACTTCAGGCAGAAGTGGTACAGGCAATGGGCTGACAACACGACCGCCAGAGGCGTCTATTCAAACTTTCCCACTCCTAGCAAACAAGACCAATGGTGGGGGTTAGGACGCAGAACGCAGAGTTTAGTGACGCAGATGTGCACCGAGCACTGCCCCTTGCGCACATATTTCTGGCGGCTGGATAACAACAGGGATCCTACCTGCCGGCATTGCAGCCTGGCCCCGGAGACCCTAGAGCACCTGTTGACCGAATGTCCCTCACTAGATCTCCCGGGGGAAGCCAGGGTGGTTGGAGGACCCTTTGTGAGGAAAATGTTGTATGGCTCAGCTCAACAGATGGAGTCGATAGCCAATTTACTAGCCGGGGTTCCTGTTGACTTCGCCCGTTGGTCATTTGCACGCAATCAATAGTCCGCCAGCAGCCCCGTAGAAAGACCAGCATCTCTTGTTGCTGAGTGGACGTACCGTTGAGAATTCGGCTGGTCAGTCCCGTTAGATGAAAAATACGTAACAAATGACTTAAAACCAATATTCAAAGTAAAACGATAAAAAAAGCTAGTATAATCAGGGGTCGTCCATTAATTATGTCAACAAAATATGGGTGTGGCATTGTTTGACAATTGTTGACAATGGGGAGGGGGGTAGATTAGTTGACGTAACAATCATGTTTTCTCTATTAAAATTTTAATCTTAAAAATTGACTGGTTATTACATTAGTTTAACAAATTTAATGAGTGTAAATTAACATAGTTATATAATTTTTAGGCTTTTAACAATATACGATTTATTTGATGTGTCTGTGCACTACTGATGGCTGGTCAGAATGTTATCAC